AAGCACTCTAAGGGAAGCTAACGAGGAGCAATAAAAGCGCACCGCAAATTGCACTTTCCCTTTTCGCTGCTGAGATAAACAACGTATTTTCTCCTTCGCGGCAGCTTTAAAATTATCGATCAAAGCGATAAAATAATTTCTACAAATTTCTCACAAATAGTATACATGCTATGAAAATGATATAAAATTTATATGTAGACTTTTGTAAATTTTTACACAGCAACTCTAATACTCCTATCTACGTAAATTATTTCTTGAAAAAATAGTACGCGCACAAGAGGCCATGTAAGGAGTAATTTTCCATTGTAAAAATATTTTTAACATAGAAATTTTACGTTTTGTCTTTAGATAGAATCATTTTTCGGTGTTTCACACGTATATAATAATTTGTCAGCAAGTTTCTTAGAGAGAGAGGCATCCGAGAAAGTTGCTTACGTTGGCCTTATATGTACCTAACTGCTCTTCTATCATAATAACGTCCACCACCGACCGAGATATTTTCCAGTCAATATTTGTTCGCGATTTTGCGTATTGATATGAAAAATGCGGCGAGGCACCACGGAAGTATCGAGTCAATATTGGTGATTTATTATGATACTGATCCGTTATATACACCGTCGTCGTCAGCGTCTTTTACTACCTATATATCGGTGTATTGAGCTCGTCTCAAACAATATAAATATCCGCCCCTCGGGAATAACGCGCACGTTGTGCGGTGAGCGCGTTATCGGCGGAAATGCATGGCTCGCCAGCAGAAGTGAATCAAATGCAACGATAAGCCGGACAGGTCGTGGACGAATCGGAAGTCATTGTTTTATCCATTTTGAGGATATAGAGAGTCTATCGATGCGTCGATTCGATCTTGTTTACCGGTATTACTCGGCACTCTCTATCTCTTCATGATATAATACGCAAAGATGAATGATGCGATTTATCTTGAACCGCGATCGACATGGTTTCGATTCGGTCAATCGTCAATAACCGTAAAAAATCATTGAAATCTCAATGCCACTTTATTGAAATCCCCGAAATGTTTTAATTAAAAAAAAGGTTTTATTTTATTTTTTTTTTTTTTCAATTTCCTCAACTACTTTTTTAACAGAATCAAATATGTACATGTAGAGCAGATATTATATAACATGTTGAATATGTGTGTGAAATTTATTTGCCTCTTTTATTATATTTCCATTAATATTTTTATAAAGCAAAATATTTTCTATTCGTTATTGTATGAAGTCAGGAAAAATAGCATTCACATGACATTCCATCTATTAAGGTGAATTATATGATATTATTTATTTGCATTTTATTTATTGAGGCCGCGCGCGCATTACATACACAAAAAGTAACATCGTTGCAATATAATGAGACTTGAATTATGTGAAATTACATTAAAAATCAAAAACAATACGTACGATTTTAATAATAAAATTGTAAATAAAATTTTTAATGCAGCAAATCGAATATCGAAATTCATCAAAAGATTCGATATTATTTAATAATTATTAATAATAAATTATCTGCAATATCGGTATTTATGTTTCGGGCAAAACAGCTCGTTATTCTATAATGTGATCTTTAGGGTCCATCGAAATAGCAGATCCTTGAATGATCTTTTACAACGTTGTAGCGCACGGGTACCCGTTATTACGTTGTATTATTAGCTTAACCCTCACATAAAGCTCTCTCTGCGTCAATGGATTTTCGTCGAACAATTATTATCGGTAATCCATATTGCGTTTTGTATACAGATGCATAATATATTCACGTGCCACAATATTCCACGATATTCTCTTCAGGTTGACACGTGTATAATCAATTGTTCGTTACAGAAGTTAGGTTTAGTATTAGCAATCGCCTTTATGATGTTGTGTATTTTAACCTCCCCAATTATATATGACAGAATCGAAATCGATCCTGAGTATGAATATTTTATGAGTGTAAAATATCTCTCCTAGTTCATTGTTTTTTCTCGTATTTTTTTTTCATTTTATGCGTGACCTACTTTTTTTATTCGCCATAAAGATGAGAGTTATTAAAAATAGTTAATTTAACGCTTCATTTATACTTGTCACGGTTCGATAAATAGTAATTGCCTTTCTTTCAACCACACAACAGTTAAAGTTTAATTGTGTGTGCAGTGATATATTATATAATTATAGATATATTCTTCCTCTGAAATTTTAGAGATATTTGATACAAATAAAGTGATAAATATTTTTCACATGTAACCTATGTACAGATTATTATATATATCTAACATTTTATATATATTACAGAATATTTCATATTTCTAGGTAACTAATGGCTGCATACACAAGTGGATTTGGTAGTGCTTAGGTATTTATCGTGAATCACATTTAAATATATATTATATATATATATATATATATATATATATATATATATATGTTCAAAGGGACAACGTATATCATGAAGGGTCCAAGCTTTTGTTGATTCGTTTAAATTATATAGAATGCCCCAAAAATCAGATGCTTTTTAAGTTAATAATTTTTATATAGTCAGCGATTGAAAAATACACTTTGCGGATTAAATTTTAGAAAAGTAAATGGACAATTATATATTAATTTAATAATTAATTAATATTTTAATTATTATTTAATCATATTTAAGTGTATTTTGTTTTACCATATTTCACCGTTTTTTATTTGTGATTTAAAAAATACATATAATGCTAAAAATTGTAGTGACAAATTTTTTCGCTAAGAAAACAAATCGAATTCTGATTTAAAAAAATATGCGAGTAAAAAGACATCTGATGGTTTTGGGACGCTCTCTGTAATACATAGTATTTCGCGCATAATGCACGAAAATTGTCTCATGAATTTTAATAGACGATATACATAGAGAGATCTGATGAGTTTTAACGGAAGTAGGACTCGTGGTAGGCGACCAGCTGGCTCCTTTTCCGGCAACGAAACAAGAGCGCAACCGATACGCGAGGGCGTACGTAACGTAATCTCGCGCTCGCCTAACTTCGTTTCCTCGATCGTTCGAAACTTCCGACAATCGCGAATCTCGTCTATCGAAACGGAAGTTCTTATTTCTTCGCTATCGAGACGCGATACTGCTGCTGTAGCGCGATGATACCTCGAGTGATACCACGCCATAATTGATCAAATCATTCGTGCAACACGATTCTACGGAAACATGTTGCGAAGTGAGATTTCTCTCTCTTAATTTTGTTTCGATCGTGATTTTTGTTTCATTCTTGGGAAAATTGATTCATAGATTCATCTTCCGTGATACATACTTTTTTAATTTTTCTTTTATTAGCTAAATCTCCAATAATTTGCACAATTGACTTTTTCCAATCCTTGCGAAACTATTATTTGCATGTCATTTGAAAATCACAATTCTGGAATCTCGAATTTTTAATCCCGGATTTTCTCGTTTAAAATGCTACAAAATAGTTACATTAAAATAATAAATAATTTTTAATATTTTTTACTCTCTTGTTTTACATCGTGTATTTAATATTTTATTTTTTACAATAATTGTAAAGTCGGCTTTTCATTTTGTTTTTTTATTTAATATTAAAATATAAAATATTGCAAAATTCGAAAGTACGCTTATTTTTACCGCGTTAATAAATGCATATCTACTACACTTTTTAAATAAAAAAAGACATGAAAGAGAGAGAGACATGAATGAGAAATTCAAGATTCTTTAGCTCTATAAAAAAACTAACCAAATAGATCTATGTTTTTAATATAAAACTAGTTTACGTTATCTCAACTTTGAAAAAATTTCCATGAAGACTTTATTACTAACTTTGTCTGAGTTTAGTTTGCGGGATAACGGCATCGATAACAGCTTAAGATCTACAAACTTTAAGTACATCTATCATCGTGATTTAGAAAGACACTTTCCGACCGGTACTTTCCGAATAAGATTTACATAAGATTTAAATCTGAAAAATATTATATTTTTATTATAGTGATAAATTATACGAAACTTCACGTAGCATCTTTCACTTCGACATATAATTTAATTTTAAACTTGACAAATTGAATAAATACTAAATAGATTAAGAAAATTAATATTAAAACAATACGCGTGAGCAAAAATTCGATTTTTCTTTTTTATTCATATTATTATTTCAAAATATATTGTATAGCAATGGAGATAACAAGGATTGAAAGAGTTATGCTCACGTAGCTTACGTAAATCTTAAGAATGATCTCATATACAATGATAAATGATACGAAAGTGTTTTACATAGCACAGAACTATGAGATTGCTTTGGCAATAAAACGAAACGATTTGCCGCCAATAAAAACCAACAGCAAATCCCGATCAAGAAAAGGAAGCTTTACGACTCGCACATTATTTGCTTTCTCTCTCTCTCTCTCTCTCTTTCTCTCTCTTTTTCTCTTTCTTTATATATATTATGTATTGTATAATCTGGATCTCTAAAATTATGTTTCAAATTTATGTTTTGAAATTTTCTTTTAACGATAACAAATAACATAATTATTTCACATAACTACGGTCAGCGCGCGAACTTAACCATTATCCCAACAGCCCGGATCAAGGAAACGAAAGATTTGATAAAACGCACATTATTGGCATTTTCTAAAATCATTTTCTGAAATTGTCTTCGTTGTTCCGACAATCGTAAGTGACACGAAATGCGTTTTACGCGACGTCTTCCAGTTGAGCGCGTATACTGAAGAGAAAACTTCGCCGGCGCGTACCACGGGACCTTTTCGCAGAGATAAAATCGAGAAATAAAATCGCGACGATGAGTAGAAGACATGAAGTTGAGGAAAAAGAAAAAGATAAAAGAGAAAGAGAGGGAACTGTAAAAAGTTGAACAAGACAAGATAAAAAGAGAAAGGTAGATAAGAATCGTTGGGGGCCTCGTCATGAGAGACGGAGAGAAAAAAAGAGAAAAAGACAGAGAGAGAGAGAGAGAACTTAGCAGGAAGGTGGAATAGAACGAGAGAGATCGGCGAGTTTGCAAATTTACTCACGATTGTGTGGTACGTTTTGGCGGTGCGGCAGGACTGTCGTCGCCGAGGGTGGAAAAGCACGTCGGATCCCCCGCGAAAGAGGCTCGCTCCTATCCTGGTCCTCATCGCGCAGACGTGCCTTCTATCCCCTCTGCGTTTACGTGTACACACGGCCGGAGAGCGAGCTATAACGTGCGGGGGATAGAGAGCATGGAGAGCTATAGGGGCGGAAGGCAGGTGGAGGCCGACGAAGGGATGAAGCTCTCTTCTCGGGACTGCAATAGAGAGACATGTTTAGAGATATATTTCCGGCATAACAAGAGTTGAAATAAATCGATGCACAATCCTGGGATAAACTCGATCCAAGCATTGCACATCTTATCGACCATAAAATTGAAAAAATTTCTTTGCAATTGCATAGTTTCTTTTCAACTTTTATAAAAATAAAGAAAATTTTTAATTGCTTACTATAAGATCGTGTATTAGAATTGCAAAGAATTAAATTTTACTTTCTTCGTAATGTACATTATAATTGTATTTTGCTATAATCGATCTCGAGTTTTATTTCCTTTCTACGCTTGTCATATTATTTTATCATGTTTCAATTATTGATATAACATTATAATTTAAGGAAGAAACTTTTTTTGCATCTTGCGAGCAAATATAATTTTATTTTAACATTTTACTAGAAATAATTTAATTCGGAAAAAGATATAATACAAGTAATTATTTATAAAGTTCTTATTTTCTTCTTATTTTTTTTGACGTTCACAATTGAAAATATGATTTGTGGATATTGAAGAATCAATTTTGCGGTCTAGATATAAGGTATAGATATTTGGAATAGAGGCATCCTCGCTAAATAATGTTCGTCATTACTTTCTTTCTTTGTATAAGATTCTTTTAGATTGCATTCTTCTATGAAAGATGGTTGAAAGGTGACTGATTTGATTCTATGTATCACATTTCAGGATTAATATAAACATTTCAGAGTTAATATTCTTTAGATATCGATTTTATAATGAACTTTCACAGTTCACTTAAAGTTTATCTGAAGTGAATTTTCGAAAATTTTATCGAAAGTTCTTTAAGTATTGATTAAAGGTTGTTATCTTGAGTTTCTCGTAACATTTAGTCGCAATGTAATTTTCATGAGATTTACAATAAAAATAATTATATATATATATATATATATATATATATAATTATTTTTATATATAATTATTTTATATATAATTATTTTTATATATATAATTATTATTATATATAATTATTATATATTTTATATATAATTATTTTTATATATAATTATTTATATATATATATATATATATATATATATATCCTTTAATGTGATTTTTAATCAATGAAATATAAATTGATGACATGTCTTCTACAGCACACGGATTTGCGTGCGCACAATGTATGTAGTGTTAAACATTATATCAATTCGCGGCAATTCTCAATCTATTCTGTTTAAAATATTTTATACTTGACTGCTTCGATTCACATGTGTTACATTTTGTTATTTCCTTGCTCATTTAACTATAGACAAACAATAAATAAAACAATAAATATCTATATTCATTTAATTATTCATATGTCAAGGAGGGAGAAATTTTTCGATGGCGAAAAATTAATATCGCGCAAGGTAAACAAATATTTGATCATATTAATTGTATAAAGATATTACATTTGTGCCAAACAATATTACATTTGCTGTCTATATTGCATGCACGCAATATTTTACATAAAATGCGCCGAATGTTACGTCGACAATTAATAGTATGACCTGATACCCGTATTTACATTTGCTTTTTCCATTTGTTTCGACGCACAAAGTTCAAAAGGGCATGGTATTGTTGCAGGGAAATGAGTTTAGCATTTTCTCTGACACATATGTAATAATATAGACAGTATAATTATATATATGTATTATGTCACGCTTATAACATAAATTCTACACTCTCGTAAATAAAAAGGAGGGATTATAAATATATTGACATTTTGACTTTAATAACATTATTTTTTCTTTGATGAATTCGTAGCTGATTAGGGGAAGAAGAGAAAGAGAGAGATTTTTTTTATACAACTTTTTGATCGGGATTATATACCTTAGTATAAATGAACTTGGAATTAAAATTCTGAACATCTTAGAAGTCTATCTGAACTTCATGATGACAAAGTTTTGCTCCTTAAGTTCTCACATTTTAGTTAAAAAAAAGATAAAAAGACAGCAGCCAGTATTGATCAAAGAAACTGCCTAAAATTAAGATTGAAAGTTTTAGGACGTCCTTCGGAAGCTTATTCGAGAGCTGACTATGCGATGATGTCAAAGTTTTCATTGCTTAACTGGCGAAATCCTTAAAGTTGAGTTTCTGGACTGACACGATATAATGAAGAGATGAAAGGGAGAAGGGATATATCGCCTAAATACGGAGGGGTCGCAGCGAGCTTTATTACGAGACGAAATTCTTAATCGCTCGACCGAGACAATAAAGGGTAGCTACACGGAACGAGTTCATCGGGTAACTGTCTTCCGCCGAGGAAACGGATCCTGCATAACGGCAGGATTTCCCGAGATACCTCTTTGAAAATTGCGACTAATTTTCGCGTTAATGGTACACCAAAATCTTAATTGCACCGAAGCTCCGGCAATCGCTTCGATAATATAATTGATAAAGCCAAAATTGCCGCGAGCATTATTTTTCAATCCTTATGCGATTAACAAAATTTGTTATTCACTCATTTAGTAAAATACTTCGTGAAATGTAGTTTAATAACATCCGTGAAATCATTGTTTTATATGGTAAAGTTTTTAATTACATCAAAGATTTTTATGTGTCACTGTTTTCAATACTTTGCCTTAATTAATACATCTGATAAATTTGCAATGTGACTGCCATATCTTTGAGATATTCTGTGTCAATAAAATGGTCATCTAATAAAGCAAGAAAATAAGATAGAGTAAAAAATTCATTTTACTATCCGTGAACTATACGATATTTTGAATTAATATTGATCTTAGGGTTAATATTCGACTTTAAATATCGATTCTGTAATTAAATTTCATATTACAATTCAGTTAAAATTTATGTGAAGTAAATGACAAAATTTTATTATAAGCTCTGCAAGAATATAGATCAAAGATTACATCGTTGGGTTCCTCGAAAGGAACATTCATTCGCACGCAAAACATTTATTCCTGTCTCGTGTCATGCTGCTACAAGAGATACTACTGCTACATGATGCCTCCGTATTTTCCCGGCTGCTGCGCTCCCATTTCAATCCTGAGAAAAGAGCCATGTCGGCCTCCACGATTTCCACTTACATTTCTTTTACATAACCATGTGTTTTTTCCTTCTACTCCACGTTTTCACTCTCTTTTTTAAGTAGCATCTAAAAAATTTCACAAGAAATTAAATTTTCAAATGTGATAATTACAGATTATCATGTCTTCCAAAGATATACGTCTCGTCTCGAATTTCTATAAAATCGGTATCAGGAAAAACCATAAATTGATGACACCCTGCTGAAAGAATCGCTATTATTTATCAATGATAATTCCCGGGAAAGTATCTAACGCTTCCACTTACAAGATACTGTTATTAAAAACAGAATCTTAAACAATTAATATCAGTGTAAATATTCTTAAAAGTAATCCTCTCCAAGAAAAGATATATCTCACTATTAAATACATTTCTTAAGGAGAATAATATCACATATATATAATTTTTTTTATTTAAAATACGATGTACATGAGAATTATTTTACGGAGAATAAACTACAAATATGTATATTTAATAACTATTTCATAGAATAAATTCTGGGAATTCAATGCAGAGTGCTTCTTAACCGCATTAGGATAAAATATTCTTGCTATTTTTATTACTTAGTTAACCACAGTTAAATGTTTTCGTAACAAATGCGATATAATTAAGTTGCTTGGGTAGTCTGATAAATTTCAACGCCGCGTAACTACAGCGTTAAATCTTTATTTCAAGTAAAATGTAAACATTTTCCAAATATACAGTGGTGCGAATGGCAGTTCTCTTGCGCACTTTCGTTTGCATAGATTTCACGCGATACGTGCGATGAATCAAACTTTAGCACCGTACTAAAAGACAATAAAATGTTACAAGCAGACAAGCTACTATATATAATGGATGACAGTACCTAAGTCTATAAACCGAAGATATAGTGGTAGTGAATCTAGCAAAAAAAGAAAAAAAAACGCGACTAAGTTAGAGACGAATTTACGCGGTAAAATCTTTACTAACCAAAGTAAAGAAGAACGACTTGTATGCGCTATAAAACTGATCTGCATTAAATAAACAACTGTCTTATTTTCTCTTGGCCTTAGATCAATATTTAAAATCTCTTCTTCCCCTTTCAATAAAAAGCTTTTCAATATATCGAAGTCTATTTTAATACTTTTTAAATTACAAATAATTCAAATTAAAGCTTAACAAATATATATAAGTAGATAGCATTTTTTTAAATTTAATTTCTTTTTAATTTATTTTTTTAGAATAATAATTAATTATACAAAGATTTTTTACAATAATAATTAATTATACAAAGATGATTATAATTAAATGTAAAAACTATAGGAGATTTTAATTAAATTATTGCTTTTAAGTTCATCGGAAAATATGTGAATTCGACACACTATGTGACATGAAGAAAAAAAAGAAACTGAGGAAATTTAACTTTAAAATTCGCCAGATTTTAACCTACCACAATGGTGTATGCCTCTCTTTTCGCCAATGGCCTTACAAATCTAACGAGATTACATTTGTCTCACCATGGGAAATCCGCAACGTGCTTTTCCGGCGTTTATCTACGCTCATTAAGCGGAAATGCATCAATTATGCACCGCGTGCTTTATACGTGGCTAGGCTCTTGGAAAAATCGCCTAATCAAAAAGTTGCGTCGACGAGGTTCGTCCGCTCGTGAATCTTTCATGTCCACGCGGGACCGCGCTCGTCCATTAGGATGTCGGCGACGTTTTTCCACCTGCTCCCGAAAGACGAAAGAACGCGAAAGAGAAATATGGAGCCAGCTGGAAAGCAAGGTGAGAGGAGAAAGCGCGACCGATTGAAATACGGTTTCCTTTTCAGACACAACTACGGACATTTGCACACCGCGAAACCTCTAGATCAGGATTAAAAATGTAGGAAAAACTGTAGAAAGTTTCGCGTCGCATAAATTATTAATTTGAAATTATATGACTATAATTAAAAATTTTAATTGTAAAATGA